GCCTCCCAAAGTGCTGGGATTACAGGCGTGAGCCACCGCGCCCGGCCGAGGTGACCTTCTGAATCTTCGCCTGCTGTTCCATTGCAGGATGCCTTGTGAAGCGAAGTATGACCGGTGGCCCAGATGGGCCAGGGAGACCTCGAGTGAGGGGCAATAGCGCGGGGCACACAGTAGGTGTTAGTCAAGTCAAGAGGTTGTGCATGGCTTTGTTTTGTCCGGAGCAGAGCTCTCCTTAGGTTGGGTCTGTGACAGATGTGAATATTATGGCCTGGGCTGATATCTGGCATGTTGAGTGCTGACTGGTGTATTTCCTTTTTCAACCAGAGAATCCTGGCCAACCCCCGAACAGTCCAGAAACCCTGAGATAGCATTTCTAGATCTTCTATGCATTTGGGAGGAGTCACCTTCAGTGACTTTATCAATTGAAAATTTCTGATATCCAATTACTGGCCTTTCAGTCAGTCAGTTCTGATGACAGGAAGGACCAGGGCTCTGGAAAGTCACTTTAAGCTAATCATTATTAGTCAAATAGTGCTGTTATTTATACTGAGTATTGAAAAGGGAGTGTAATGCTGTGTGACCGCAGTTTGCCTTCTCTCTGTGCTGGGTCACCTGCAAGCCCTGAGGGCCCCAGAAAGCAGCGAACAAGCTTCCAGAGGGATTCCTATGGATCAGAGGTCTCCTAGGCCTCACCTGGTTATTCTGCATTACACCTGCAGACAGGTAAAATCAGATTTCTCATGTCTCCCCTTTTGGGGGTTGGGTGTGTGGGTCTGAAAGGCCTATCATGCTTGGCCTGACTGCACTGCCCAGTGTGGTGGGTGCATGTGTGTGTGTGTTAAGGAAGTCTGCAAGTTTAGCGTTGGCCTGTCCTGACTAGCAAGGACCTCTGATCACCTAGGCTAGGGGTCAGGTGAGGAGGACACTTTGACACTGAGGGCTGAACTTGTTTTCTGAAGTCACAGAGCCTCCTGGGTGGCAGAGCAAGGACTGGGCCTGAAATTTCTGATGTTTAGATCTGTGCTCATTGACAAAGCCATGATGTTTAATTGCAGAGAAAATGGTGCAGCAGCAGATGCAGTGAGGAAACAAATAATGCCCAGTTTTCCAAGTCACTGAAGCGAATCTTTTTATCTCTGCAGTGAACATTTAAGAGAAAACAAAATTCATTTCTTGCTAATCGGGTGGAAACAACTTATTTAAAGAAACTAAGAGTGAGCAAAAATAAAAGTAGATTAAAGACAGAAGTAAAATGTTTAGAATACTTTGGTAATCAGGCATTAAATTATGTCAGTGGGAGTATGATTCCAAGTTCATAATGTCATCGCAACTTAATTAAAATAATAGATATAAGTCCGCCTTTGTTAGATAATATTATTTAATCCAGGAGTTTTATAATCGCTGTTTTTTTCCTTGAGGTAAAAAACCATTGTATCTCTTCAAATTATTAAACAACCTTAAAATAACAACGTCCTGTTTCCTGAACATTTATAAATTCAATTTATATCATTTAGGCTTATTGGTACTTTTCTCCAAGTCGAGATTATGACTTTGGTTATAAATTCCTCTGGTTTGAAAAAGTAGTGATTTCTTAATACTTGGGAGATAGTTTTTATAATAATTAGTTGTATATTTATAATGTAAAACAAGGAGCTCAACTGCTTATGACTGATCTGAGCAGGCAGTGTTGTGTACTGTGCTGTGACAATTAATGATTTAGGCCTGACATTCCAGGTGACTCGTTACACCATCGGAGCTTGCATACTCACAGCTGTTCTGTGCTTGCTTTAAAAAATGCCTGATTCAGTCCTCAGGTGATGGTGCATTATTGGCCTGTCTTTCATCCACTTGGTTAAATGAACTTTTAGTTGATGTACTTCAGTTAACTTCAGTGATCGCCCACCACTGCTTCGTGTTGACCCACTTTTTCAGTAGAGGATTGGAGGGGATAGCATTTGTCAACTACTGTACACAGGACAGAAAGGGATCGTGTAACCCTGTTTTGAAAAATTCTGTTGAAACTTACCAGCTGCTTAGTACTGGTACTTCCTGTTTCCAAAGCCAGTGTTTATGCAATGCCACACTCCATTGTGAGATTGTTTATTGCCTTTAGCAGAACTCCTGGCATGGAGACCCCGCCTCTCATTTATGCGAGATCTCCAGGTTACAACTGGCCCAATCCATTCCTCACTGGCAGTACCAGCCTTCATCCCTCTCCTGCCTCCCTTCTGTTGGGTGGCAAAGACCTTGTTGGGTGAATACGTTTCATCCAGTGACTGCTCCAGCACATTCCTCCTGCCCGGTCTGAGTCCCGGCCCTTATGGCTCTCTGCCTGCCATTGTCTTGGCGTTGAATTAAGCCTGGCACCTTTGCCCTGTCTGTGCAATGCTAGCACCCACCTCCCTTCCTTTAGTAAACATACTCATGATGGGTGTCAGTTTCTCATGCCTGCAGTGCTGTGGACTAGGTCCTGCTGCCGTAAAGTCGGTGGAAAGTATTCATGGGGGAGGTGTGTTTGTCGGGTCGGCAGTGGGAGGGTAGAGGAAAAAGATAAAAAAAACCCCGTTTCTGACTCTCTGAAGTGGCGAGGCCAGCTAACCTGAGATGCCTGTGATGAGGTGAGTCAATGTGTACTATACATTAATTACATATGATATATGTATGGTATTGAGCCTCTTAGGATGGGCCAGAGGTGTCAATCCATGCAGCGAGCCTGGGAGATGAAGACAAGGCAAAATGGGCTCTGAAAGCCACCTGACCCCCTCCGAATGGCTTTAAGACAAGTCAGCCTGCATTTGAAGCCTGGCCCTCCCATTATTAATTGTATGAATTTCAGCAAGTTTCTTAGTCTCTCTGGCCCTGAGAACCTACCTGAGAGTGTTGTAGAAATTCAATGAGATAATGGCAGTTACGACTGCCCAGCTCAAAGCTAGTATTAGTTGAGTAATTATTGTCCTTGTTTTTGTTGCTGCACTAGGAGCAGCTGATACAGGGCAGAGCTGGGCTGAGTTTCTCAGAGTCTAAAGCTCAGGCTCCTTCTTCGAGTCGTGCTATTACTATTGCCTTGTCTCTTTTGGTCAGGAAGAAAAGTACCTCAATTTTTAGTGTCTCTACTGTTTTTGCTCAGTTTCCTGTGTGTTGGGGTTAAATGGCCCTTGACTCTCTGTTCCTGGTACCAGGGACTAGCGAACTTCCTTCTACCCACTGTTAATTTGAGCTAAGGGTGTGGAATTTTGTTCAGCTGCTTAGAACATTATATAGATAGAATTATTGTTTTGGCATTAAGAAACCTGTTAACTGACTTTCACTGTGTTTTTTTTTTTAAATGAAGGAAAATGCAGTTGAAGCTAATTTCATTTTACTTGTGGATAAATTGTTGGAACTGCCTTACAAAGTATGTTAATAAGTGGGGGGAATGGACTGTTTCAGTCATCTTTATTCCGTGGCTTTCATCATGATGTAGGGGAAAGACATACTCACTGTGAACAAATATAATTATTGAAGTCATCTTTAATTTGTATTCCCTTCCTCATTCACATACAGGTCAAAAGATTTGAGATTATTTTTTAACAATTGGAGAAGAGTGGTTTAGAGATTAGGTGGAAGAGAAGATGATGTCTTACTATCAGTAATACCCAAATAAAACTGTTTAAATGTTTCCCATTTGGAAGGGATCCTGAAAAGTGGTGTACAGCAGCTTACCCAAACGTACATTTCTGTTGGACGTTTTCGTGTGCTTTCACTAGTCTTAAGAGAGCTGCCAATTTATTGTGGCAAGTTTAAGTAAGTGAATAAGGGCAGGATTTTTCAAGCTGCTGGGCAGTCTGTTAATGGGTCATAAAATTAGTTTAGTGGGTCACAACAAGTATTACAACAAAGTGAAATAATGAACTCTTTTTTTTTTTTAATAGAGTCTTATTCTGTCATCCAGGCTGGAGTATTGGGCCATTGTATATAAATAAAGTGGGTTACAGACAGAAAAATTTGAAAGCCTCTGATCTGGAATATTTTAGAAAGTTTATCAGACTTTTTTTTTTTTTTTTTTGAGACCAAGTCTTGTTTTGTTGCCAAGGCTGGAGTGCAGTGGTGCAGTCTCGGCTCACTGCAACCTCCGCCTCTTGGGTTCAGGCAATTCTTCTGCCACAGTCTCCTGAGTAGCTGGGACTATAGGAATGTGCCACCACACCTGGCTAAGTTTTTGTATTTTTAGTAGAGATAGAGTTTCACTATGTTAACCCAGGATGGTCTCGGTCTCCTGACCTCATGATCTGCCCACCTCGGCCTCCCAAAGTGCTGGGATTACAGGCGTGAGCCACTGCGCCTGGCCCAGAATTCTTTGGAGCAAGTCTAATTGTGCATACGAGGAAGTGCTTATAATGGAGTCTTTCTTAGCTATATTTCCATCACCATTGAGTATATTCACCATGACCCTTTTTAGGGTTTAGGACTTTGGTCATCACAGTGACAATGTTTTGCATATTCCTTCCTTCTGTGGTTCCCCACTAAGATCATTTCTAGGTGGGAGAGTCACACATAGCCAAGCCAGTTGTCCCAGGCACAATTATACAGAGTAGATGTGACCACACAGACTGTCCTTTTCAGATTAAAAATGTTTGGTTTCTCTAAGGCTGTCATTTTTCTTTTCTGTACACTAAAAACAATAGTTCGAGATCCTTTACAATAGAACTGCACTGTATGGCGTGGAAGGCAGGTCTCCGAGAGGCTAAATGTGTGGCAAAAGTAGACAGGAGGCACAGTCCAACCTCTGTAGGGTTGAAATATGAAAAACTAGTGTCACAGGCCACAAAGAAGGCTCCAAAGGTTAAGTAACATTTGCCCAAACATTACTTGCCACCAAGAAGGCACTGTCACCTGGGAGACCGTGGTTGCAGTGGGAGGCTGAGTGAGACTGTCTCATAAATAAATAAATAACATTACTTGATCATAGAATTGGGGATAATTTGATAAAGCCAGAAAGATACAAATAGGGACTGTTGTTCAGACTGGCATTTCAGTAGATGAACCTATAAAAGGAGAAAAAGAGATTCCTTAACATTGGTGATAATATAGTTATCAGGTATAACAATTTTTAGTAATAGTGATACAGAGATTTTTTTTCCAGAGCTAATGTATTTTGTAACTGGAAAATAAGGTTTATGTCTTCAATTCTAAAGATTCATAGATGAAATTAGGAAAATAATGTCCTTCCTAATTAACATGTCCTGGGTACCGTTGTGTTTATGTATTTTCTACTCTAAACTGAATTTTAAAATCTTGGATAAAGTATACTCGGAAATACTTCAAATCCTACTCAGTTTGGCATTTGTAAGGTTATCGGCTGGGCATGGTGGCTCATGCCTGTAATCCCAGCACTTTGGGAGGCCAAGGCAGACGGATCACCTGACCTCAGGAGTTCAAGACCAGCCTGGCCGATATGGTGAAACCCCATCTCTTCTAAAAATATAAAAATTAACCGGGCATGGTGGGTGACTGTAGTCCCAGCTACTCAGGAGGCTGAGGCAGGAGAATTGCTTCAACCTGGGAGGCAGAGGTTGTAGTGAGCCGAGATTGCAACACTGCACTACAGCCTGGATTTATAAACCAAAATTTAAAGAGTTACTTTTGGATTTTGTTCTTTCAACTCTGAGTTGCCTCGGAAAACTTTTAAAAGAATTGTCTCATTTTTCACAGCCTTTGTACTGCATTTTAAGTACTCACTCCATTTAAGAAGGTAAAACTACTGTAATTAAGCTTTTCAGATTAGTTTTTTTTTTAAGGCATAAAGGAAGTAGTTAGCTATGATACATCTGTGGTTTCTTGTTAGAGAATTATTTTATAATTGTTCCTGCAGAAATGATTAATGATTTCCTTTACATCCAGCTGTCAGTAAAAGTTTTCATTATGAATATGTTGACATGTCCTCTGTCCTTGTCTCTTTCATTTAAAGTAACCAGTAGCTGCTATTTATGTAAATTTTAAAAAGATACTGTTAAAGGAGTTCTGACCTTTGTGATAAGAGCTGTGAGGGAAGTCAAAGCTGATGGCATGCTGGGCTCTTGGGTAATGAATTCTGTTGCAACAAAAGAAATGAAACCATGACAGCTTGGGTCACTTCAGGGAGAGCTCCGCTTAATGTGGACTTAGAATCAGGTAGAGCATTTACTTAAGGGTTCCCATGCCACCCTATTCTGTTCTTTCCCTGAGTCATTATTGCTGCTGTAGGATTTAAATCTCCCGATAACGGGCTGGGTGCGGTGACTCATGCCTCTAATCCTAGCACTTTGGGAAGCTGAGGTGGGCAGATCACCTGAGGCCAGGAGTTCAAGACCAAGCCTGGCCAACATGGTGAAACCCGTCTCTACTAAAATATAAAAATTAGCCAGGCATGATGGTGGGTGCCTGTGATTCCAGTTACTTGGGAGGCTGAGACAGGAGAATTACTTGAAGCCGGGAGACGGTTGTTGCAGTGAGCGGAGATCACACCATTGCATTCCAGCCTTGGCAGATGAGCAAGACTCTGTCTCAAAAAATAAATAAAATAAAATAAAATCTCTTGATGATGTGTTGAGACTCTGGGGAAACATTACTTGACCATAAAAGTAGTAACAGACTTGATTGCAATGCAATGAATTGCCAGCGTGAGTAATTTGATGGAGGATGTATAGGTTCTTGGGGCAAAAGCCCTCATACCAGACAACCAAGGATTAGAGCGGCAGACTCCGGGGTAGATGGTGGTGGTTCTTACAGACTTGTGTAGTGGGAGGAGGAGTGACAGTTAAGGCTTTGTTTTGAGAGAGACAGAGAGAGAATTGACTTGAGGATGGAAGCTACAAAGTAAACACTAGATTATTGCAGTCATCTTAAATGATCCTTAAAAGCATCCTGTTTGAGTCAGGATGAATGGGACCTCTTCACTTCTGTAGGATCTGGATTATGACTGATGTCCCTGTTCCTCATCACTAAAATGAAGTAATATTTCTCCAAGGCCTCCTTTAACTCTAGAATTACATGAAGTTTTGAAATGTTGAATATTTTCCAAACAGCTTCCTTTCCATTCCCATAAGAAAAAAGGCTGTTATGCTATGTAGACCTTGAGGCACCCGATGTCTGTCTGGGTATTTACCGGTGAGCTCTTTGTTTTTAGGCTTTCATCGTTCTGTGTTCCTTGTTTGCCAAGGAGGATGCTGTCATTTTCCCATTCTGCTTTTAAGTTTTCCTGTGTCTGTTACTGTCTGTACAGGTAGTGAAAGGCTTCAGCTGAGTCCTGTGGGGAGATGAGTTTCTGGATTTGGGTGTGCCGTCATGGGGTGACCGAGCTCACTGGTGATGGTGAGTGAGCGGTCTCATGTAGCCAAGGTTGCCTTGCTTCTGTTTACTCGTGACTCGGCAAGGCAGCCTGTGGGAAAATGGCAAGGCCTGGTGTCTTGGAACCACAAGCCTCCAGAGGGAGTTGCATTAATGTGCAGAGTTGAATCAGAGAAGGTTCAGAGTTGGTGTAGTTTATTGCCTTATTCCAGTGCCCACGCTCACTACAAATGTGTTTACATTTCAACTTTTGCTAAAGCCCGCTTAGTTTAAAAGGGAGGCTTCACGTAAATGGAAAAGCTGAGGCTAAAAGGTCCAAACTTCTCTCATCTTTGTTACTTATTGAAGCTTTCATTATAGATGCTGTGAGTACTCAGCATTTCTAAGAAACTCCCATTGCTCTTGTTTCCCTTTCAGCTTGGAGCTGGGATCCAGCGTAGCTAAATGAGGGGCCTGGCTTTGCCCCTTGTCGGGAGGATGGCCTGCCTTTGAAGGCAGTTGAATTTTGTATATGTCTTAGTCTCTTCAGGCTGCCATGACAGATACCATAGACAGTGGCTTAAACAATAGATGTTTATTTCCTCACTCTTGTGGAGGCTGGAAGTCCCAGATCATGGTGCCAGCAGATTGGGTTCCTGGCTTGCAGACAGCCATCTTCTCACTGTGCCCTCACATGGTATTGGGGCTGGAGGGTGCAGGGAGAGAGATTGAGAAAGAGCGAGCTCTGGTCTCTTTTTTTATAAGGACACTGATCCCATCATGTGGGCTGTAGCCTCATAACCTCATCTAAACCTAATTATCTTCCAAAGGTCCTACCTCCAAATACTGTCACTTTGGGGGTTAGGGTTTGAACATATGAATTTTGGGGGGACCCAGCATTCAGTTGGTAACAGTGTGTGCGCTGCATGCACGTGCGTGTGTATGTGTAGATCAGGGTTGATCAGAGTCTACCTGCCATTGCCATCCTCTTTTCCCTGCTGGGTGCAAATTTGCATTCCCCCCCACCCTTTGCGCGGGAGTGATCATCTGACCCTGTTCTGGCCAATGAGGTGAGGTAGTCCCGGGGGCTTCTGGGAGTGCCTTCCCTCCCAGCAGGGGCGCTGCCTCCTGAGGGGCTGTCCCTGCCGCCCCTCCCTCCCTTGTGTGCCTGGGGCGGCTGAGGCAGGGCTAGGAGAACAGCCCAGGTCCCTCCTGCCAAGCGCTGAAGCCGCCCTGGGCTAACTGCAGCGTTCTCCTGTGAGCTGCAGAGGAGCCCTGCGCTTCCTGCTACTTGCAGCCAGGTGCTGTTACCTGTGCCCCACGCATCCTCACGGACCTGTCCACAGGGCACCCGTGCCTTCCCTCCAGCTGGCAGGAGGTGCAGTCGGAAGAGCGTATGGTCCCTGAGGCCTCCCTGTGCCTCCCCCTGGACCCCGGGGTGTCCCTATTTGCAGTTGTTGACCCTTGGGTGCGTCTGTCGCGTCTGCTTTCTTCTCCTCCAGGCTGGGAGCGCCTGGACCACGTCTCGCTCCCCTCTCGATCTTTAGGCCCACCCTGTGCTCCCCCGTAGGAAACATAGTGACCTAGTGACCGGTTCAGTCACCCAGCCAGTGCTCTGGGTCCTGGTGTTGCTGACAGCGGTTGGTTTGCTCCTCTCTTGATTTTGGTGTCCTCTGTAAGAAGCCTACCTATTTGGTCGTTCACAGAAAGCCCACGAGGTGGCCGGAAGAAAGGGACATGGGAAAACAGAGTATAATTAAAAGGGCCTGGGCCATGGAAATAGCTGTTCTCTAGGGTTTGGTTAGAGACAGACAGTCCTCCAAAGACGCAGGCAGAGCTGCTTCCCAGTCCTCACGCTCAGTTTTCATTGTGGAAGCAGAAATCAAATAAAAGCCAACTTAAATTCTTTTAATTATGGAACATTCTAAGCATCCAGAAAAAACACATCGTTGCCACCATTGTTTCTGGCATTAAGGTCTCTTTTCTCTTTTTAAGGGTGAAAAATGTTTTCCAGACAAACACTTAACTAATTCAGTATGTCAAAAGTGAAAAATACACGCTGAACATCCCAAATCCAAAACTTCATGAGCGCTGACATGCTGCTCAGAGGAAATGCTTACTGAAGCATTTTAGATTGTAGACATTCAGAAATATTCCAAACATTTGGAAATATTCTAAAATCGGAAAAGCTTTGAAATCTGAGACACTCCTGGTGTTTCGGATAAGGGATGCTCAACTTGTAGTAAGTGAGTGGTTGGAAGTTAGAACATATGCATCCGTAGAAACAAACCTATTTGACCCAAAATTTGGCCAACGTACAGAGATTTGAGATGAAAAACTTACAAAATGATAGGGTGACTGTGATTTTACTAGTTAGGAAACAAACCCAGAGAAGTGAAGTCAGGATTTAGGTTTGTGGACCTTTTATTTAGGGTCCTTTCTACTCTGCCATACATTCCTAGTTATTCTGACAACAGTGTCGAATTTCATCAGCCAGAAACCACTAGGAACACATGTGGTTATCCAGAAGTTGGTCAGCCAGGGCCAGTGTACCCACAAAACTCTTGGGATTATTTTGGAAAGGCAGACTTGGGGTTGTGCTTGTACTGAGTGATTTGAAGGCAGAATTAGGGAATTGGGGCCAGATCTGGGTTGGAGGTGGCCAGTAGGCAGGGATGATTCAGTGATTGGGTATCCTAACAATTTTTATCTAGGAGGTAGGGGATTAAAGTGGAGTTAGAGTGTCCACTTCAGTAAAGAATTTGCAGTCATACATGTTGATGAGAAAAGGGGGCATCTGGTTATTTTCGTGGTAGTAACGTGGGCCTGTCTGTGTCCTATTTTGAGCATTCGTTATGTTCTGATGGGAATATTGGGGCCGGTTTGGTGGTCGGTAGGGTTGAATTTAATTTGTTCACCAACTTAATTTCATTCTGAATGCATATGCGGGAGGAAATGTAGGTTTTAATAGGAGCAAGATGAAGTGGTAAATAGAGATTTAGAGGATGTCTAAAAAACTGTGAGCAGTCACTGTTTTTTAAACATTGTAGCTGCTCAGTGAATACTGCAAATTAAAAAAGACAAATGGTTAGTTTTCTCCTATCTCGAGAAGCTTTAAAAATCATCATAATGATTTTGTACTGAATTTTGATAGGCTGTAGAAGCAGATAAAACTGTCGAGCTGTTATTAAAGTGTACTTATAATTGGAATATATTTTTATAGTCTTCAAATATGCTGTCCAGTTACTGATCAGGAGGTACCGTGAATGGTGATGTTACTCACAGTGCCAAAACACCCCCAGATCAGTGGAAAATGTGGACAAGGAATTTAGGAAATTTACAAGAGCAGTCAGAAGCTGGAGGCAGTGTTGGATAGTGAAGAGTGACCCGGGTTCCAATCTTGGTCCTAGTCCGAGCTGTGCCACCGTGTGGTCCAGAATGTCGTTGCCAACTCTCTGAACTTAGTCATTTCATCTCTCTGGGCCTCAGTTTCCTCATCTGTCATAATGAGGAAGTTGAACACATGGTGTCTGTGTTCCTTCTAAAGTTTCTGTCATTAAGTCTGTTTGAAGATAGAGTCTGTTCTTTTGGAAGTTCTAGTTTCTTTGGCCAGTTGGGCCAGGTCATAAACATTATGTAACTATTATTCAGCTCATGAAGACAGGAATGTCTGAGGGCTTTGAAAGCTTGTCCAGAAGGAAATTTTTCCTTCCTCTCAGGAATGATTAGGCCTAAATCAGCCATCTTCTTAGTCCATCCCCTTTGTAGTTTCCTGAGATGAATGACTGAGGTGTTTTCTCCTTAGAAAATAACATGGGAGAAAAATACCAAGGGAGACTTTTTATTCAGGAACTTGCAGTTTAGGAATTAAGTGTGATACCTTCCATTTTGCTCATTTTAATTTTGGGACCATAAAATGACGTAATATAAATATTTAAGGATTCTGTTAAATGCAAATTTTGAAATCATGCCAAAACCAAAAAAAGGAAAAGAAGTCAGCCAAAAGTTGTTATCATTTCAAAGCTGGTGGCCAGGTGGTTTGGAAACTGTGTATGGGATTGCTACATGGAAGCTGTGGATGGGATTCCTCCACTCTAGCAGGCAACAAATGCCTTGTGTGGTTAGTCAGTATCGTGCTGCATGCTGTTGCTGATAGCATGCTAATTTTTGCTTACATGTGCTGGTATTTAACGTGCGCTTAGATCTAAATATCTTTTTTTAGCCTTCGAAGATGTCAACCAGGTATTCATCAAGAGGTATGTTAATGGGGATGTTGGCGATAGTGCCCAAGATGCCCCCAACCCCCAGATCAGTAGCTTTGTGACAGAAGTGCCGAACCACTATGAAGATGATCAGGCAACAGTGGGACGCATCCTGCCATAAATTTAGCCGAAAGAGCACAGAGCATGCATCCAAATAGGAGGGTTAATATAGAGAGGTGCTGTAGCAAAGTGATTCAGAGCATGGTCCCTGGAGCTAGTTGCGTGATGCTGACACTTAATTAGCTTTGTGGATTTAGGCAAGTCACCTAGCCTTTCTGGGCCTTAATTTCCCCATCTGTCCAATGGAATAAATTCAATGTCTACCGCAAAGTTTATATGACACTTAGCAAACATGAAAAGACAGGTTGCCGGGCCCATCCTCCAGAGACCCTGATTCACTGCATCTCAGGTATTTGCGTTTAACCAATTCCATGGTGGTGCTCATGCGTCGAACCCTGGGATGACACTGAGGATCGCATGCTGTGCGTTTGTACACACAGACACACATGTAGGCATTTAGTTTACTAAATAAAGGGCATACTCTTTGGAACCTGATGTTTTTGTCCTATTTAGTGCATTGTGAATATTTTCCCTTTCATTATTTATTCTAATAATAGATGATTTTAAGCTTCATTGTATTCCTTATTAGATATTTAAATGGTTTCCATTTTTTGCACTATGATAGATCATGCTGGAATAAATATTATTCTGTATACACTTGTCTACATCTCTGTTGGTCTCTTTAGGGTAAATTCCTAAAAGTGGAATTACCAGGTTCAAGGGTGTTCATGATAAGGCCTTTTGCTGCATATTGCCAACAAATTCTTCAGAACGAGAGTAGCAGAAATTTATCGTCTTACAAGTAGTCTATGAGAGTAGATGCTGGTTTTCTAAATGTAAGAGAATAAGGAGAAAACTTCATCATTAACTTTTTTCATGTGTATTTGGGCTTTGGTGGGAGTAGGCAAGAAAAATATCCGTGGATTTATAGAGTAAACAAAGGTATGTCAGGAAAAACTAGAGAGGAATAATAGGGCTGAACTGTGGCTCAATTTCAGGGGGGTTTCTGGGATTCAGACTTGAATTAATTGAATGATGCTCTAATGTATACTTGATATCAGTGATTTTATGCAAAGAAGAATAAATATTGGCTTTTTTTATTTATCACATATGGTATGGGTGACTATTGCTGCTAGTTCAAGGGTCTTGATTTTTTAAAAATGTGTTTCTTGACTGTGGTACCTGGGAGCCCCAGGATTGAGATTTTGATTAAATAACATCTGCTCCACTCTGCCTTCCTGTGTGGGTCTCTCTAACCCTGGGCCAAGGAGTTGAGGTTTTCCTTGGGGTGCTTGGAGTAGGGGTGGGTGCAGCTTGGGAAATTCAGCGTCAGTACCTAAAAACTTAAAGTAGGCTTCATGTAAGAAGTCAGTGATTCTTAGGAACGGGGGTACGTGTGAGTGGAGGCCAAGGTGGGGCCCTGCACAGGTCGGTCAGGCCCTCAAGGTGGGACAAGAGCTGTAGAGCCCTTGGTTATAAGCCTGTGTGGTAGAGACCAGCAGATAAGCCAAACTCTTCTCTATTATCAGAACATTTCACTAATAAGGGATCTCAAGGGTCACCTGGCACAGCCTTCTCTTTTTGCAGTTAAGGAAGCTAAGAATTTATTATTTCAGTTAAGCTTTACCATATAGTAAGTTTTTTTTTTTTTTTTAAAGTTTTTAGGATCAGTTAGCAAACAGAATTGGCTGCTTTTTATTTCCTTTTTCTGGAAGAGCTGAACTTTGGAGAGTTGTGGCTGCATGGTGGACGGGAGAAGTGGGAAGGACACAGTGCAGTCGTGAGTGAGGGTGGCCTGTGGTCTCTTCGGCCTGGGGAACGGGCTGATTTCAACTCCTCCTGCACTGCTCCTGAACTGGTTTTCTTCTTGGAATTCAAAAAAGTGTTTTCTTCTTTTCCTTTTAGCAAAGAAACACATATGACAGTTATTCCTTTTAAATAGCTCCCCTGAATATAAGCTGTGCCTTTTACCACTGGGTGACACTGTTAGACCACAGAACATTCTTCACTGGTAAAATCAAGAGTTCTTGAATTTCAGATTTCATCAAGCTACTTTACATAGGAGAGAGAAACTCCAAATCATTTAATAGTCATCTATCAAATGTTATTTGATAAGTGTAATTTATCAGTTTTAACGCCAATGAGTTTAAGGTAATCAGTTATTAAATAATTCCATTAGTTGGGCAGGATTCAATTGCCTAAAAATTTTTGCAGATTACTGTGCTGCATATTAAAGAACTACTAATTATTTCATGGGACTATTTATGTAAGCCGATGTACTAATATATCTATTTCCCACCAGAGAAAAGTCTAAGTTACCTTTCTTTGGCAGAAGACTCACTGTTCATACACAGCAATTAATGTTACAGACTTTTAGTGAGGATTTTTTTGAGCCATCTTGTTGAAGAGGAAGGAAGTCTGTTGGTTAGAGAGATGGATATTTGGTTCTCTGTACTGGGATGTGTTAAGAAGAATGTATGTCTCACTAGTTCTGATGTCTTTCAAAGTCAAATAAAAACAAGAGAATTGGTGCAAAGCATGGGTTGACTCTGTTTTTGGCTCCTTTTGAAAATCTGATGTCTGCCCTTCTGAGCATAACTTGAGCATTATCTGGTCAATTTCAGCTGACCACTAAGTGTGATTAATATGTTTCTGAGGATAAGAAATGAGTGCGAGTAAGGCCTTCCCTTTGTGGGCTTACCATGAGAAAGAAGACAACTTTAAATTTCATTTTACTAGAAGCAGACTTTAGTATCCTGGGAGAGGTATTAACTGAGTCCTGCAGGAATGTAAAGGGGAAACACTGAGGAGGAGCCAGGAAAGATTTGGTGGAGTGAGTCCCTACATTTGGATACTCTAAGCTGCCAGTGTTATCCTTTTCATTTGATACTTTTTTTTTTTTTTTTTTTTTTTTTTTTTTTTACAACGGAGTCTTGTTGCATTGCCCAGGCTGGAGTGAAATGGTGGGATCTCGGCTTACTGCAACCTCTGCCTCCTGGGTTCAAGTGATTCTTGTGCCTCAGCCTCTCCCAAGTAGCTGGGACTACAGCTGGGACAGGGAGAGGGTTGTCCATGCCTGGCTTATTATTTATTTATTTATTAGTAGAGACGGAGTTTTACCTTGTTGTCCAGGCTGGTCTCAAACTCCTGACCTCAAGTGATCTGCCTGCCTCAGCCTCCCAAAGTGCTGGGATTACAGGTGTGAGCCACCATGCCTGGCCCATTCAGTACATTTTAATAAGGTGCATACAGTGTGACATACAGCCTGGGGCTGGGGGAGGCAATGACTGGAGATTTACAGGCCTCTGGAGGTCAGCCAGAGGCATAAGGAGTCGGTGGTTCCAGGTTTCTCCTAGCTCTTCTGTGTCTGTTAGTCACTGTGTGGCCACTGCTACTTTGTATGGCTTATGTACAAGTCATCATGCCAGAGCAGAGGGGAGAGGCTGGAAGTCACTCAGAGGTCTTTTCCCTTCTGCAGAGGTTCACTTCTGTGCCCTTTAAGGGGAGACAACATGGAAACACTTGGGAAATGAGCTCACAGGGTGGGGAAGTGCCTGGGGCAAGGGGCGTCCAGTGCGGTCTTCCATAGCAGTTCAAACCAGAGGAGATCTCCCTGGAGGAGAGGCCCGAGGAAGATGGGGGAGGCAGGTTGTGAGCTGGTCTTTGCAAGGTACCTGGAGTTTTACTGGCTGGGGGCAGGGATTTCTGCCCCCAAGAGGAACTTGGGAGCAGAGGTGGAGATGGGAATGCACATGGGCTCAGTGTGTACTGGTTGACTGGAGTTGATGCCAGAAAGTTAAGAACCACACATGCGAAAAGGTAATTGAGGACTTGCTCTCGAGAAGTTTGAGGCCACGGAAGGCCAAGCAGTTTAGCATCCTGTCCTGAGGTGACAAATGATGCTTGGCTTGGCGGCCCTGATCTGATTAAATGAGTTAGCTCATTGGATTTGACTGAGGATGCAGCTGGATTAGAGGGAAAGGCGGTTGGGGGAGGGGGGGTGGATGGAGGCCATGGAGAAGCCAAGTGCACAATTCCCAGGATGAGAGAAGAATGACTGGTGATAGGGACGATTTTCAGATGCATTTATGGAAGGGAACTGACGATCGATCCTGTACTCAGGGTTGAAACCTGTGTGACGGGACCTTTGGGAAAAATAAGGAAGTTACGGAGAGACGGCGAGGGATTATTTCTCAGTGGAAGAATGGTGTGTGTGGTGTCTTCTTTGTTGCTTTTGAAAAACAATAGCTCCAACTCAAATTTGCCTTGGATGACTTCTGCTACAGTGTAAGCCCTGAGGGGTAGGGTTGGCTGTGCCCGAGTGTCCTCTCCAGCATCTGGGCAGTATGTGGCACCTTGGAGCCTTCAGTAAATGGCGAGTCAGGTAGAGCTCAACTGGACGCTTGTTGATCCTGAGGTGAACATTCCAGATCGAAGTTGGAATTTCAGAGCCAGAGCTCGGGAAGACAGGAAGGATCTTCATACACGCTTTAGAAACAGCTCACGTAGCAGAAGGGGTAAAGGTGTGTGGGGTCTCCAGAGGCATGATTGGGAGAAGAGGACAGGGCTGTGGCCCTCTGCCTGGACTACTGGTGGCACTAAAGGAAGGGAAGAGGAAGCATGGGCAGGAAGCTGGGGCAGACGAGGGGATCAGCAAGGAGATGGACACCAGCCCCAGACCCAGAAGAGGCGCAGGAGAGTGTCACCAAAGGAAGGAGCCCTGGATGGCCTGAGGGAAGCCCCCTGTATTGGACTGTCAGGCAGATAGGAACATGCTGCTTGCTGCGAATATTTAAAGAATGACATTTGTTTTCTGTGAGTGACCACGGATCACAGCTGTTGAGACAGACCTTGAGGACCAGAAGCACAGGTACTTCTTACTAGTAAAAGCACCTGACAGGCCAAGTGACACTGCCAGCCCCTAGGTAGCAGTTGGTCTGGGGAACATTAGCCAAGGCCCTTCTCAGAGTGAAATTTCTCTAGAATAGTTCTCAGGCCCAGCCATTGTCCTGGGAATAAGCCCAAATGCGCTTGTTTGGTTGATAAACATTCTGCTTTTGGGCTTCAGATGGGACTAACTAGGCTGGGACATCCAGAACTGCAGAGTAGAGCTGGCTCTGGCTGTGTGTCACCTCCATATGGTGGAGATGGTGGGCATCTGGTTGCCCTCATTTCTCACATAGATGCGCTGCTGTCAGCTGAGCCTCGGGGACATTCTTCCCTCCCATCACAAACTCCTCACAGGATGAGGGTAGTTCTGCAGCCTGCCAGGGAATTCTAGAATCTGTGCAGGAGTGGAGGAAGTGAGTGTGCCGGGTTTATGTCTCACCTAGGACTTTCAACTGAGTGAAGAAAATCACCAAGGATCAGCCTCTTGCCAAGACAAGGGGCTGTTGTAGGTGGCCGTGGGCCCTTGAAGGATTTTATTCACCTCTTAAACCAGTTTTACCTCCTCCCCTGAGCCAGGGATTTAATGAATCTTTATTTATTTTATATTAGTTTTCTTCTATCTAGAGACTTCTGTTCTCACACCCTAGAGTGTTTTTGTTATTGTTTTCATTTTCTCTCTTTATTTTGTCTTCAATCTTTTCTAAGTTTGTTTGACTATCCAACTTTCTGACAAAACTGGATGATGCAAGAACTGCTTTGTTTTTTTAACTTTGGCTTTGATCATGATGTATTTGGACAATATAGAAAATGCCTCTTTTTAACCAAGATTCAGGCTTCGGGGAGGTAGAAGGCAGAGAAATTTAGTTGCAGGAGGGATTTGCTAGTTTCCATGGAAAGCAAGTCAAACTGATTGGTTGACCATTAGCCTTACTTTCTTCTGACAGCAGCTGGGTCTTGGGTGCCCAGCTTTGGCACAAGCCTCTCTGAGATCCTGCTCCAGTCATTGTCTTTCTCCCTCCCTGTCCCCTCTTTGTCATCCTTCCCGGTCCACATTGGAAAAATGAATGGAGGCCAAGATTGGGTTCATCCTTATTCTTCCTTGTCTTAAACTAGTGTAATTGTGGTCTACGGTCATTCACTTTTATGTTGCTGGAGCATTAGGTAACGGAGAGTTAGAGTCATGAATTAGTTTGTTGGGACTGTTTGCCCACTTTGTTGGGCATCTGCCATGTGGCCAAGTACTGTGGATGGTAGCTATTTTCTGTGAGTTTTCACAAATGCTTAGACCAGCTGTGCACATGCACATGTACTGCCTCTCATTTCCAGTTGAGGAAATCAAGACTCAGGTTAAACTATTTTATAAAAATCACATAACTGATGAGTGACCTAACCAGGGATTCTAATCCAAGATGGGTGGTCTTCAGGTCTGATGCTTTTTTTCCATTATGCTGTATAACTTCCCATGGACTGTACACAGTTAAAGATGGATGAAATAACAGAACTGTCAGAATACAGCCGCAACCTAGTGACTATGGACAGTAATTTTAATAGCTATGGAACATGTACTCTTTGTGGGCATGCAAAAAAGTGTACTGATTGAGGGTGAATTTTCAGAGGGAACACACCTGCGTCACAAGAATCTGTATTTTCCAGAAACAATCTTATCCAGACCCTGGAAGCGCCATTTTTATTGCCATCTATTCACTCCCCAACTAACCATTATCCTGACACCTAATATCAAAGGTTGGTTTTC